CTGTAAGAATTTTAACTTTTTTCGCACCGTACAAATAATTTCTGAGGTTGTCCAGTGCGCATATTATTGCCAGCATCTCCTTTTCATTGGTAGCATAGTTTTCTTCCGTTTTATTCAATGATCTGGATACGTAAGCAATTGGACGATCTTTTCCTATTTCGCCTTGCGATAGGACGGCTCCTATAGCTTGATTAGATGCGTCCGTTGTCAGTACGAAAGGCTTTTCGAAATCTGGATATGCTAGCATTTCTGATGAGGATAATAAATCCTTCAAATTTTTAAATGTTGAAGTTGTTCTTTGTTCGGGGAAATTTTAACTTTTTTTGACTGATTCGGTTTTATCTGGCTTTTTTCACCTCTTGTAAGGTTTGTTAATGGTTTTGCCACCTTCGCAAAATCTTTTATAAATCGTCTGTAATATGAAGCAAGGCCTAAGAATCCTTTAAGATCTTTCAGATTTTCAGGTGCTTTGATGTTTTTAATTGCGACGATTTTCTTCGGATCTGGCTTAATGCCATTGCTGGTGATAACATAACCTAAAAACTCCGTTTCTTCCTTTAGGAATTCTGTTTTATCCAGATTAACTTTTAACTTCGCTTCCTTCAGTTTTGCAAATATTTTTTCAACATTCTCCAGGTGTTGCTCCGTATTCAAAAAAATTTTTTATTTTTCTCAATGGTTGATAATTTTTCCGAAATATAATTTTTTATTATTGGTGTGAAAAGAAAACTTCCTTTTATTCGGAATAAAATACTTTTATTTTTCGCTAATATATTTCGTGCGCTACATACGCACTTTATCAAAGCTGATTTTCTTCTAATTAAGACAACAAACAATAAAAATCGAAATCTATTAAAATTAGGAATATTATACCTGACTTAATATAATCTACCTGACTTAATCTAGAATTTGATTATTTATTTATTTTTTTTTTTTGTAATTATTTACAAACTAAATTTATACCTGTTTTAAACCTTAAAACTGGTCAAATAATTAATTTAAAGAGCCAAGTAGCCGCGTTACCTTCGTCCGTGTTTAGTGGGCAGTCCTTGTTTGATTTGTATATCTGCATGCTTTCATGAACTTCTCTCCTGTGTTTTCCTTTTATCTCTTTTAATACCTTTAAGTTATCTTCCGTGATTGTGTGATCCGTTTCATAAATGTGTTTTGCAACCATAGAATCGAAAATCCGGTTAAATCCTACTCTCCTTGCACGTTTTATTTCACTTAAATGTTCCTTAAGTCTTGTTGTAACGGGTCTCTTCGTTTGTCCTATGTAAAATTTATCGCAATTATTACAATTAATTTTAATAGATTTCGATTTTTATTGTTTGTTGTCTTAATTAGAAGAAAATCAGCTTTGATAAAGTGTGTTGCTCCGTGGTTTTTCCTCCAAATATGATGATGTCATCAATGTATACATAGCAAATTTTGCCTATATATTCCTTATATCACCCTAGAACATCGTCAATCATCCTTTGAAAGATGGCCGGTGCGTTTTTGAGTCCAAACGGGAGCCTGTTGAATTCATATTTTCCGTTCATTGTTGAAAACGCCGTTTTGGGGATGTCGGCTGCTTTTATTCTAATTTGGTGAAATCCGGACGTCAAGTCTATGATAGTGGAATATTTAGAACCTCCGAGACTGGCTATTGTGTTTGAGATATCCGGTATTGGATATGTATCTGACGTTGTTATTTCCTTTAATTTCTTAAAATCAATCACCATACGGTACTTTTTTACTCCTGATGCGTCCATTTTCTTTTCCACAATCCACACCGGTGAATTGTAGGGGCTCTTCGATGGTCTGATGATGCAATCTTCTAAAAGCTTTTTTATTTGATTTTCAACTTCGGATCGCATATTTTCCGGGTGTGGGTACGATTTGGTGTATACTGGGTCTTCGGTAGTTGTTTTAATTTCAGCTCGAACCGTTGTATTAACTGTATCCTTGTTGTCTAGGGGACCAAACAGATTTCCATATTTTTCAATTAATTTAGTTAAATTTTGCTTCATGTTTTCATCTAAATGACTATTATTAGTCATTTATTAGTATTAGCAAAAAATGTATCGTTAGTATAGTTAGTATTAGCAAAAAATGTATAATTTTGAATATTGTACTTCACTAATTCGTTCTCAAAAACCCAAATTTCAGAGACAAAAATAAAGTCCGGCTTCTTAATAAATGTTTCTAAATGTACTAGCAACAAATCAAAGTTTTGTCTTAGGCTTCTTATGTTTTGATGTATTATAAAAAAACAAATTAGTGTTAGAGGAAAATTCAAAAACACTACTACAATTTAAGTCACAATTACTACTATAACTATTATCAAAATCTAAATCTAAGTTATTTTGTTGAATTATCATTTACCTAGAGATTTCATATAATTATGTAAAGCCAGTCTTGTCCTTTGCAGATGCTCTCTGTACTTGCTTATGATGTAGCTTTGCTAAGTCTGTTGGTAAACCTTCTTGGTTGATTAAAAATTTAATATTCATTTGAGTTATACCATCGACACATACATCATTTTGATCAAATAGTTATGCTAAATAAAGTCTTACATTATTATATATTCTATGATCTCTCAGACGCTAAAGCACATATGTACATGCTATCATCTTGCTCAAGCGCTTTTTGGATTAATTTTGCAATTGGTGTGAATAATGGACTGATATAGCTGAATTTTTTATTATCATTTGTAGTAACACTTGGTTTAGTTTGAATGCATGGATTAAGTGTTTCACCTTGTATCCAATTGGAATGCTTTTCCAAATTATTATTAGGTGACGTACTTATAGTATTAGTTATTAGATCAGAATTTGAAACATTGAAATTTCCAATGCTACTACCATTCACAACCATATTGCATGCAATATCACTATTATTATTACTGTAATTATTGTTGTTATTATTGTTCGTATTGTTATTGAAATTAACGTAAACGTTTTACATAAGTGTAAAAAAATAATTTTATTTCACAATTTAATCTCACATAGGTTTTACTTAAAACTAATTTTGCAATATAAATTCTAAATTATTTATAATGAATTTTTGCTAAGCTTGACAATTTGTATTTTATATTTGAATTAATTGATGAGCGACTTTTATGTATAGTTCCCAATTTAATATAAAAAAAATTATTTATTATTTTTTTTCTTTATTATTAATTTAAAATTATTATTACAATATTCCAACCTTATTGATTCAACCTTAACACTATTGACATTTATTGAACAGCGATTCCGCGTCTTTTGCATATTATAACTGAACTAAGCTAATGCTTATTCTAAACTCACATTTTTATACTTTTCTTTCTTTATACTAATCTTTATTTTTATTTATCTTTTTACAAATATTTATTCTTAATCATTAAAATGTAATTAGACAAAGACTGTACAAAATATTAATCTTTATCTAATTGTAAATAACAGAGAATAGACATGTTTCTTTCACAGTTATCTTTTATGCAAACATGTCGATTCTTGTTTTATGTTAGAGAGGTAGATTTTACATTTTTCTTTGTTCTCTTTGTTATTATTTTATATAACTTCTCCCTCCCTATAATTAAAATTCTCCTGAATTTTTGTTTAATATTTAACTTTCCCCTCTATTATGTATATCGGTATCGGCCGATAAACGATAATTTATCGGCAAAATTTTGTGTTTGTATTACCAACATTGTTTATCGGTAAATTTTATCGGAGTCGGGAAAGCTTTTTTTCCCTGTATAGAAAACGTATTAGCTGGTATTATGAAAACGATAAATTGTCGGGTTTTCCCCGATTTAAAAGCTGGTACAAATTTTTAGACGACAGATTTTTTTTTTTGTAAAATCTTCATTTTATCAAGGAAACTGGTGTAATTGATTACTTTTTTAAAATGTAAGCATTTTTTCTAAATTATTTTCTTTCAAAATGTTATTCATATATTTTATTTAGGAGTAAAATCGTAAGCAACAAAAAACAAATTGCGCGGTTAGTAGAAAAAATGGAAGAGGACTTAAATCTGGCAAGGAATGTTTGTTCTAAAGCTATAAGTGTGGCGAAGTGGCAAGCTATAGCATTAGAACTTAACAGCTTAGGACCAAATCGTGATTTTGATAAATGGCAGCGAGTAAACCATTTTTTTTTTCAAAACTATGATTTTTAAGTAAAAATAAATTATACCTGCAGGTTTGGAGTGACCTAAAATACAAAATTCGCAAAAAGGTCGTTGCAAATAAGTCTGAAATTTTGGCAACCGGAGGAGGACCAAATAAATTGCATAATTTTACTGACGTCGAAGAAGCTGTTCTAAAAATAATAAAATTGGATCCTTCAGAAAACTATAGCGGTTCAGCTTTCGGTTTAGAAGAATTTTATTTTGATATGGAAAATGTGTCAGGGCCTGTAGTAGAAGCTCAAGAAAAATCGCTGGACGATACTGATCTGATGATCGAAGGTAATCTGGACCATTCTACAGAAAAATCAAAAAGCAGAAAAACACCACAAAAACAAAAAAAAGAAAATATAGAATTAACAAAAACCAAATTATTACAAACTGAAGTTGATGCACAAACAAATTTTTTCGAAAAACAACTAGATGAAATGAAAAAATTAAGGAGAAGCATAGAAAAAATTGAGAGTTATTCGAAAAAGTTACTAGAACTAAAAGAAAAAAAATTACAACTTAAGAAAGAAAAATTTGTGTTGTTTAAGAAGCATCAAGAAAGTAAAGATAAAGATAGGAAACTGAAACTGCAACTAAAAACTCAAATTTTAGAATTAGAAAAAGAAAACCGTAGTGCTATGCGTGTGTAAATTATTTTTGCTTATTTTGTTTTCTTAGATAAAGAATATTGAATGATGAATTACTTTTCAAAAAATATTTTTATTTCCGTTGATTTTCTTTATTGAAATAAATTTAATGAATTATGGAACTACTATTTAAAAAATATTTTTTATTGATCACCAATTTTTTACAGTAACCGTAATATATTGTCCCTCATTCGTCTTCCTTCATTCAGTCTATTTTATTCTTCTTCCGGAATTTCGTTACTTCCTTCATAACCAATTACTGTATGGTCCATTTCATCATCTAATGCAATGTTATATTTCAAACAAATGTTGTGGAGTGCAACACAAACATTGACTATTTGCGTTGCCTTCTGAGGCGTATAATGTAGCTCCCTTGCACCTAGCAGGCAACGAAATCTACTTTTTAGTAAACCAATCGTTCTCTCTATGATATTCCGCCCTTGTGCATGCTTTTTGTTGAAACGAGCTTCCAAAGACGCCTCCTCAGTATTTCTGAAAGGTGTTAGCATATATGGTGCCAAGGGATATTCTGAATCTCCTACAATCAAACATTTCATTTGTTATTTTTTTATTTTTGCAGAATATGTATACACATATTAATCACTCACTCAGAAATTTAAAATCATTTCGTCCACTACGATAATCACTCTCAATTTTAGCTTTTAAAGCTGACACGTTCCAAATATGCGAATCGTGATAACTTCCTTTGTATTTGGCATTCACATAACGTATGTTCATTACGTGGTCACATACCTAAAATTATTTTTTATTATTAATTTAATTTAGGTGATTATTAAAGTAACTTACTATCAATGCATTTAAACTACAAAATCCTTTTCTGTTGTAGTATAAATGTTTTACTTCTTCTTTTGGACTTATTATTTTTATGTAACTTCCATCTATGCAACCCACAATATTTGGGAAGCCCGTTTTTTCGTAAAAATAAATTTTGGCACGTCGTTCTTCCTCTTTACTGTACTCAAATTTAATCCACTTCGGACATGAACGCTTTTCAACTGCGTTGAACACCTCTTTTAAACAAACTGATACAGTAGGTTGAGCTGAACCTAAATTAAAATCGTTGCCTAAGCTCAGTTGATAGCTTCCTTGTGCACAAAATTTTAAAGCACATGCCAGCTTTATGATATTAGGTACAGCGCGTTCAGTTTTTGTTATTTTAAGTTGGTCTTCTATTTCATTCAATAAATCTCGAAAAGCTTCCTTCGATAATCTGAAATTCTGGATAAACCTAAAAAATGTGTACATATTATATAAATAATAAAATAAAATAGGTACATAAACATACATTTTGTTGTCTAAATCCAATGGATTAGTTGAATCTCTTATATGTCGTCTTTGAATAGCTTGCGTTTCTTCACTTACTATCGTTTCTTCACTTTCAAAATATAATTCACGCGACATTTTCCCGATATATGTATATTTTTATTTTACAAATTTAACAGAAAATAATTTGCTTACAACAACTTTTTAGCACATCAAAACCAAATTCAAAATAATTTTAAAAATTTTTTGACAATAACTTTTGAAAGAAAACAAATGTCATTAGAAAAAAAAACTTTTTCTCCAATTTACAAAAAAAAATTTGTATGAAAAGGCTTCTTTTAATCGGTTGAAATATTTTTATCGGTATCGGTTCATAATACAGAAGAAACCTAAAACCGATAAGAACTGCCGATAATATATCGGCCGATACCGATGTTCATAATAGAGGAGTTTATTAAATGAAGGCGGGAGTACTTTTAATTTTATTGTATTATTTAAGTTATCAGAAGTATCTTCTGAATTTTTGAAATTTGTACATTTTTTCTTTATGCAAATTCTTATTACTATGAATGTTAAAAATATTGTTATGAATTTACTTAATATTATCAAGATTACATTTATTGTTATTGACTCTGTTTTGTCATAGGATTTAGCCTGTTTTTCTGTTATTTCTTCTAAATTATTTTTATATTTTAAAAAGAAATCTTCAAAGGTTGTTTTATCTGTAAAGCTATTTATTATATTGCTAGGGTAATAAAATCTTTTTTTTTTGTTTTTTCTAATATATTTGAAAATACTTGTTTAAGAATATATAAAGTACAGTTATTAAAATGTATTAAAATATTATTAGAGTTATATTATTAGAGTTAGTTTTAGAGTTATATTTTTGGCATTTTTTATTATTATGGTTTGTTCTTCTAACGATTGTATTTCTATTGAATTATTTTTTATTAGTTTACAATTGTTTTTATAGATACAATGTTTGGAAATTTCTAGTTCATTAATTGTTTCTGTTTCTTTATATTTGTAATGTCTATTATTGATACTTTTGGGATTTTAACTGCGAATATGATTAAATTTTCTTTAAAATGAGTAACTCCTAATTTTATGTATTTTAATTTATAGAAGGCTATTTCGTATTTTTCTGTTTTTTCGTTTGTCAGAATATTTGGGTGCAATATACCATGTTTTGCCGATGCCAAATTATCTTGAATGCGATTCACCTTTTCTTTTATTAATTGTATATGTAAAAATTGGTCAAAAAGTATATATTAACTTTGTTTAACTTTGTTTACTTATTATGTTTATTTTTTGATTAATCAAGTCTCTGTCTTTTAAAATGATATCCCTTAATTGGATAAGAGTTCTATTAAAATTATCGTTTATAATAATTTGTTCATTCGAACTTGATATCAGTTCCCTATTATTTAAGTCTAGAGTTCTTAAATATTTTTCTAATGTAATTCTGTCTTCGTCGTTCATTGTACCGAATAACCATTTAGATACGTCCTGTCATGTATCTTATTATTTTTAATATTTCGGTCGGGTCAATAATATGTAAAATTATAGTAGACTCTGTTGCTATGTCTGTTTTATCCATATTTATTATGGAAAATCCATTTTGGTAGTTAATGTATCGTACTAGTAGTGTCGCTTTTGTTGGTGTTAGTAACGGTATGCAAGTTTTATCTATATTATATTTTACAAGATTTTTCCAGTTCATGAACAGGTATACATATAATCTAATAAATAACAAAAACAAAAAAATGAAAATAGCAAAAGAGAATACTGGGTAGATACATTACTCAATTGATTATACATACTGTAAAACAAAAACAAAAAATGAAAAGCGAAAAGCGAAAGAGAATAAAAAAAGAGTAGTAATATTTTTTTTGTTTTTTTGCTTTACTACCATAAACAAAAATAAAAAGCAAAAGGAAGCGAAATATTTTAAATGAGTTAAGTAAGAGTAAAATAATTTTTTGTTGTTGTATTTAACATGGAATGGAATTAAAAAAAATAAAACTAAAAATTGTGAGAGATATATGAACACGAATAACGTTACGTTACGTACTAAGGCAATTATTCTTCGTGTGCTTGCGAAATTTCAATTGAGTAAGTAGCCAAGCCAGGTCTGTATAAAGAAAAGAGGCATTGATTTTTTATTAATTCACATTCACTTTGGTTTTAAAGTTTAACGTGAAAGGTACTATTTCCAATTGCGGATTCTTTTCTTTTTAAAAAATGGATAACAAACAAATGATGGAAATATTTTAACAGATAACGTTGTTTATAAGGAAATTTTTCGTTCTTAAATGTTAACTAATTCTTAAATTGAATTTTAATCATATCTATGTAATTAACAGTGACACATATTACATCTTAAAATTTATTAAATTAAAAATATTTCCATTACTTGCTGCTTATAAGCAAACCACAGGGGCCCCTAGTGTTTATATGTTTTTCAACTACCGAAAAAAAATGAAAAAAAAATAAAAATCAAAACACAATAATTTATTAAATTTGAAATTTTTATTTATTCTTTCAATTTTTAATTTTCTTATTCATTTAAATTTTGTTTTTCTTATTCTTTTAATATTTTATTTTTAGGTTCTTTTAATTTCAAATTTATTTATCTTCTTTGCTCCTCTTTTAGTTTTAAATTTCAAAGAGTTTAAACCTTTGTTTAACATCACAACTTATTACTCTAAAAGGTAATAACTGAGTTTATTTACTTATATTAACTATTACTTCATTTCACTCTTAAGGAACTAACAAGACTGACTATAAAGAATTATAAAGAAACATCACATAGTAAAGGTTTCTCATTGAAATTTGTTAATCGAGCATTTTTACGTCGTATGATTTTTACACGTGAAAAATTATAAAAAGGTAAAAATGCTGATTTGAAAATTTTGTTTAAAAGTTTCGCAAGACTTTAAAGAATAAAAAAAAATTTAAGTTATTTATTTTAAGCTAAGGTGAAAGTGACGGGTTGGATTACAATTTTATTAGGTTGGATAACCGAATATATGACCTCCCCCTCCTTAAGACTGTTGTTCTCCTAAACATACTTATCTTTATTTTTTTTAAAATATTCTATGTGATCTTTCTTGTGATATAAAAATATGATTATGTATTGTAATTATTGAAAAGATAAAAATAAATGTTGTATTGAAATAGATTATTACATTGTTTTTATTTTTTTCAAAGGAAATTTGTTTAATTTTTTCATTATTTTCTATTTGTTTTACATGAATTGTTTCTAGATTAATGGTAAAATTTAAGTTTTCTAATACTGAATACATAATTGGGTATTACAATTTTTGGGTTAATTTCAGTAAAATTTTCAAATAAAATTATTTGAAAATTTTGAGTTATTAATGTAATTAAAGTTTTGAGTTATTAATTTATAATTTTGTATTATTTGCATTACCGACCAAAACCATACTAACTTCAATTTCTGTTATTTTTAATTTATTTTCTTGAATTTTAAAACAATTTTCATGTGAATTATTAATTAAATTTTGTAAGCAATTCGATGCTGGTTTTAGCTTATTTACATATTTTTCCTCATTCAGATAGTAGGTTTTATTATGGAAGACTATGACGTCAGTTATTTCTATGGAAATTTTTTCGAATTTTGAATTAGGAACTGGAATTATTTTGAAATGATTTGCTGTATCTTTGCTAAACTTAGGAATTTGTAGGATAAGTCCTTAGATTCAGGACTTAATAGCGATCTTATTATAGTTTGATATTTTGCAAACATAATATTTTCCTGAATCTTTTCGATTTCTTTGTTTAGAAGATTTATGTTTGTTAAAATTTGAAGGTATTGTAATTGATTAACGATATTTCTGTGGTCGGTTGAAATATAATTTGAAATTCTTTCTATTATTATTTGATTTTGTTTTATATTCTCTTTAAGTGAGTTGATATTTTCCTGAAATATCGAATTAATTTTAATTTGGTTATTAGTATTTGTAATTACATTGTTATTATTTTGTTCCATAACTCTTAAATGATTTTCTAGCTCATTTTTGTCTTCTTGGTCCATTGTTCCGAAGATCCATTTAAGAAAGGATCCTCCAATATTAATTAAAGCTCTTTTAGATCTTAGAGGTAAAATAGTTTTAAATGAATGGTTAGTTTTATTTATTTTATTTTTTAGTATATTATAAAAGTTTTTATTTAAATTATTATTAACGAACGATAAATTATTTATTTGACTTTCTATTATATTTACTAATGTTTGAATTTCAGTTAAATTAATTATATGAATTATTTGGTTATAGCTTTCGATAATTTCAACGTTTTCATGTTGTGTTATGGTGAATCCGGCTTCGGTTTCTAAATTATTAACATTTATTATTGTTGCTCGGCCCGGGGTTGTTATTAGTATTAACGTTAGAATTATTTTTATTATTTTTATTACCTGTAAATTTAAAATTTCTTTTAATTCGGATTGGATGAATGTTTCTATTTCTAGGATCTTTTAATCTATTTTGTTCGAGCTTAGTTTTAATTTTAATATATTTGTGTTTGTAATATATTAAAATTTTATATTTTTTTTAATATATTTTTTTTTGTATAACGAACTGCTTCGGGATTTTCTATTAAAATTTCAGAAGAATCTTCAGGTATAAATTCTTTTCGATTTTGATTTGCCTTATTAACTATTTTTGATTTACAATTTGCTAATCGTTTTTTGATAACAGATAAATTTGGGACATTATTTTTTAAAAAGTCAATTGGTCTTACCAGCGTTACCGACTGAATGCTACTGTTGTATTTCTCGGTCGCGAACAAAATTTTTTCGAGGGAAGTTAATTTTGATTTTTGGGCGTCTAATATACGCAAATGTTCGTTCAGAGTTCTATGAACTCGTTCAATTGGTGAGTTATTTGATATAATTATTTATCCAGTATAGGAACGTGGAGAAGTAAAGTGTACTTCAATATTTGATTCCCTCATGAAATTTTTTAAGTCTAGGCTGTTAAATTCGTTATCAAAATCCATTTTCCTTGGTTTCCCGAATATTGCAAATCTATTCTTTAACGCGTGAATAATAGTTATTGTATTACGATCGTTTAATATCTGAGCCAAGAGATGTTTTGTAAATTTATCTACTATGGTGAGAAAAACTTTCTTATAAGAGAAAAATAAATCTGCGTGCAAAATGTCGTTTGGCTCCGTAGGTCTGTAATTTCGAATTTATATTTGTTTGGCTTTCTATCGTACTTAGCCATGTTGCAAATATCACAGTTATTTATATATTTTTGTATTAGCTCTTTAAGTTTAGGGAAGAAATAGATATTTTTAATTTCGCCATAATTTTCTATTATACCCCTATGGTTAGTTTTCATATGGGTCTGTTCGATTATTTTTATTGCTTCGTTTTCGCTTTCGAGATCGATGGCTTTGTTAGAGCATTTTAAAACTTTAAGTTTTTTGTTACTTGAAAAAAGTTCGATTAATTTGTTTTGCAGTATGTTATATAAAATAAATCATATCTGAATAAATCCCAGTCGTACCTCTCCTCACATATTTACGTAAAATATTATTGAGGTGCTTATCGTTATTTAATTCATTTTCTGATATATAAATTTGATGGAAAGTTTTGTATTTAATAATTAAGTCTTGTGTTTTTTCTTTAACTAAATGGATCTCACTGATATATTTATTTATAATACTTTCTGTGGTAGGAAATTGGCCACCCAAATCTTCGATGCCACTGTGAATTGTTGCTATCTCAGAATCATTTTTATCTAAAAGGTTAATTTCGCAAGTTTCGGTGTTAATACGACTTACGAAGCCTGCGACCCTATTTTCTTTTCCTTTGAGATATTTTACCTCGAAGCCATATTCGTTTAGTTTAATTTTCCGTCGTTGAAGTTGTAAATTAGGCTGTTTAAGTGAGCTGAGCCACACTAAAGGACGATGGCCCGTTTGAATGGTAAATTTCACTTCATACAAATACGGTCTAAAATATTTGGTTGCCAAGGAGTTGAAAGGAGTTCTTTCTCAATAGTGGAGTATTTCACTTCATGGTCATTTAATGTCCTACTCGCGTAAGAAATAGGATGGCCCTCTTGCTGTAACACAGCCCCTATCGCATAATTCGAAGCGTCGGTAACTAAAACAAAGGTTTTCTTAAAGTCAGGATATTTGAAATTTTTTTTTCTACAATAGGTCTCAAGAGAAATATTATTTTTCTGGATTGCATATCTTGAAAAATTTATATTTATAGACGGACATAAAAATGTTATCGAAATTTTGAAATTATCAGCGAAATTAACTAACAAATTTATCAGAAAAACTTTATCCCAGATTATTAAGTTTTGAGCTAAAATTTAAAAAATCAAATGGCTGAAAATTCTGAAGCAAAAGTACCTACTCATAAATAATTAACATATGAAGGGTGACCTAGAAATACAGTATTACTACACTATTTAGCAATTGAAAAATAACAAATTAATTTAGCATTTATTATATTTTATTACAAAATTTTTGTTACAAATTTATTACAAATTTCATTATTTTGATGATGATTTTTCCTTCTTATTATCGTTCTTCTTAATGTGTTCTAATCGCATTTTGAAAATTGTATTATTTACTTCTCTTCTGATATTACCCCATATTGAAATAGGTTTGGATCCATCTTTCGGTTTATCCATTTCTTTTATTCAATGTGAATTCTTTAAAGCGTATATACTAATTAATTTAAATTTTCAATATCGAAAGTTTTTACAGAACTATTTTGCTGTATCAGCATTTTTAATAAAAAAGTATTTTCAAGCGCACAACTTCCAATATGATTAAACAAACATCTTTTTGAAAATTTGATTTTATGTTGTTGATTCTTTCGTAGTACTTTCAAACTTGTTGAATCTTGTTCATCTAAATCTAGTATATTGTAACATTTTAAGATATTAGAAATCCATTGTTTTTTTTCGCTCATATACATATTTGTTTACATTTTTTATTGTTTACGAATTTTTTTTAAAAAATTGATGACATTATTAAAAGACCTTTCACCGTCACTCCATTCAAAACCATGATAATTTCTTGTGAGCCAGTTATTTGTATATTTGGTTTTTGATATCAAAAAGTGATAACTATATGGAGGTCTTATTATGAAATGGTGAAATTCATCATTTGATGAAAGTATAGCAATTTCTTTTAAGATAAATTTGTTATCATTGTCTCTAAAGCCTTGAATATCAACTATAATGTATTTAATTTCTATATAATGTATAAAATGTGCTATACAATGTGATTCAGTCATAAAATAATATTTGAAACAAAATGAAGATATTTCAAATATACAACAAGACTTGATATGGAATGAGTTGATTTTGTTGTTTGACACTAGCAGATGTTAAGTTAAATTTTATTGACTTCTCCACTCAATGGCTAATATTTAACTAACCGATCATGTGTATACTATAGTGTATTCATATAATACAACTGTAGTCAATAATTTTAATGTTAGTTCAAAACATAAAACCATAACTTGAAAAAACCCTGAAACAATAAAGTCTTATAAAAACGCAAAAAAACTCTGAAACAGTAAGGTCCTATAAAAACTCTGAAGCAATAAGACTCTATAAAAACACAAAAAACTCTGAAACAATAATGTTCTATAAAAATAAAAATACAATCTATTTGGTTTAATTTTTTTTATTTATATATTAATTCTTCTATAATCTGCGGCTTCCACCTCTAACTCTTCATCCCAATCTTCGTCGGAGGCCGCTTCTGTCTCTATAAAATGTAATAATTTGAGGCAGAAACTCTTGTTAGAGTTTCTCCCCAAATTGATTATACTATAGAACCCTGTGTTGAGTTCGTCCACATCTCCATCTCTCAGATATGAATATCTAGGAGGTAAAAATACCTCCCGCTGACCCGTCAGCCCCAACACCACTCGTTCTCCATATTGTTTGAACTCTTTCTTCGACCACACAATATTGTATTGCTTATTAACCGTCATCTGCTCTAATTTTATAATCTGAGTAGGACAGAAACGATTATTAAATGATTTTATGAATGCGTCCATTTTCCTCTATTCTTCTTACAATTTTAAATAATATTTTTTATTTTCTATCCCTTTTATACTATTTGTAAGCCTATACGCAAAGAACACTTAAAAGAAAAAAAACGCAAATTTATCAATTATATCTAATATGCAGTGCCGGTTCTAGAGCTTTTATATGTGTAGGCGAGATGTGAATTTGCCGCCCAAAAAAAAAAAAGGGAATTATGTATATTTAAATTGAAGAAAAATAGAAAAAAACTAAAAACTAATATATATATATATATATATATATTTATGTTATTAGAAAAATTATAGAAAAACCAAAATAAAAATAACAAAATTCAATTTATACCAAAAATAATACACAACTCATACAAATCATAATTAAAAGTGGATCTTCCTTGCTTTCAATTCGACAAAATCTTTAACTAACTCTTCCATGTCTAATTGATCAGCAATTTTTTTTGTTTAGCAAGAAAATAAACATTCATCAGTAAACCGTCAATTAAATATTATATTCAATCTTTTATATTGTAAAATTTAAATAAATGTAATTTGTAAAAAATATAAAATTTTATAAAAATCATGAATAATCAAATTAGAAAAATCATATAATTGTTAAATAAAAAATTTGAAATTATTACTGTTTAAAAATAAAAAAATTAAAATTTATTGAATAATTTATTCTATAAAAAGAGGGTTTCTTTTTTTATATGAAAAGAAAATTATTGATTATTGCTTTATTTTATTTGTTACCTGAATATTTAAATACCAAGATCGTATACACATCATGTGTAGAATTTTGAAAAGTTAACTTAACATTTCTTTGTGAATTTATGGATTACAAAGTAAAATTTTTGTTCTGAACAAGCTTAGAGTCGAATTGTCTTTTTAATTTTGCAAAATGATGTCACTTAAATCCTGTAAAGTCGGTATATTTTCTTCAAGTGCACCCGTATTATTTTGACTTGTAACTATAATATTATTAGTAGTTACTTTTATTGAATCAAAGAGTTTATTGTTGAAAGATCATTTTCCAAAACTTCTTCGATCATTTTGTTTCGATCTGGTGCAGTCAGAGAGCAATTTTTTAAAGAAACTTTTTTTATATGCCTTTTTTCCTTGAAATTTGAGGATAATCTAAAAATGAAATTTAGCTTTAGTGAGATTTCAAAAAAAAAAATAAAACAATATGTCCTTACACTTGTTCACTTTCCGTATCCGTACAATTTGCAAGATTGTCTTCAATTTTAAGTGCTTCTGAGAATGATGAAATGTTACAAAATTTTACTACGCATTCATAAGTATCCCAGTTTGAATCAAAATCTGATAAAGCTTTACTTCTCAGGTTTTCTCTTTTAAGTGCTGAAATATTCGTTGGCCAATATAAAATTCCATTTCTTTCCCATTTGCTTGGAATTGCCGTGAAATAAGTATCACCATTTTCCTTGGTGGATACTATTTTGTATGTTCCCGACATTATACCAACAGAAATAAAAGTAGACTAGGGGCCCCTGTGGTTTGCTTATAAGCAGCATTATCTGTTGTAAAAACAGGATTGTGGCAATTAATTTTAAATTAAGTTTAGAAAAATTTGTACATATTATGGCATACATATGCAGGTATATACTTGTATATGCATAAATATCATATTGGTTTGAATACTAATGATAAATAAAAGTAATGGAAATATTTTTAATTTAATAAATTTTAAGATGTAATATGTGTCACTGTTAATTACATAGATATGATTAAAATTCAAATTAAGAATTAGTTAACAATTAAGAACGAAAAATTTCCTTATGAACAACGTTATCTAAATAAGTACGTAACGTAACGTTATTCGTGTTCTTATATCTCTCACAATTTTTAGTTTTATTTTGTTTAATTCCATTCCATGTTAAATACAACAACAAAAAATTATTTTACTCTTACTTAACTCATTTAAAATATTTCGCTTCCTTTTGCTTTTTATTTTTGTTTATGGTAGTAAAGCAAAAAAACAAAAAAAATATTACTACTCTTTTTTTATTCTCTTTCGCTTTTCGCTTTTCATTTTTTGTTTTTGTTTTACAGTATGTATAATCAATTGAGTAATGTTTCTACCCAGTATTCTCTTTTGCTATTTTCATTTTTTTGTTTTTGTTATTTATTAGATTGTATGTATACCTGTTCATGAACTGGAAAAATCTTGTAAAATATAATATAGATTGAATTTAATGCGCTTTTAAGCTTTTACAAAATGAAAACATAAACAATAATTTTTAAGTGTCAATCAAAATTATCAATATGGCAATATGAGTTCTCCCGCTCACTCCAAGTATGTTTTCCTTTTTAAACTTTAGGTGGCGAAGTGGGTCTATGTGGTACTAAAAACTTTTTAGTGACATATCACACATTGTGACTCAAAGTTACGTTGCAGGGACTTTCTTTATCCACTTTGTCACGTTGTGGTACCAAAAGCTGGTTTTGGTTACCATAAAGTTGCAAAAGGTTGAAGTAGACATTTTACTTTTTATATATACAAAATTCAATATACACAAGGGTTACCATTTTACTTTATTAGCAATTATTATAGAGAACTGAAATATTTTATAAATAACATAATAGCATTTTAATAAGGAAGTCATATGAAATTACTTTATAAATTTATGCTACAGAAATAAAATAATGACAAAAAACTTTTTTCAAAATTTTATGTGCATATTGTATGAATTTATTATAATTGAATGTTTAAACAGTAATCAAAAATATTTAAATTAAAAAAAACTTAGATTCGTTCATTATAATTATAATTAGATTAAACAAAAATATCAATTTTTC